GGTAAATCGGAATATTTTCTAAATGTCAGAAATCTTATTTTTTTTCATTCTCGCTGTATTTTTCCAACTTCCTTGGTATTGCTCACACTGCTCAAGGAATGGGAAAATTCTACCCCCAAACTGTGAGGATTAGGTAATAAAATTGGATAAAAATTTTTATAATTAGGAAGCTGCACAGAATTGTAGGCACAGCTGGCTGCTTGCAATTGAAGTAATGTGTAGACATCTGGAAGTTGCTATCCTGGCTGCATTTCAATCACCACGCACAGGTTACCAGTACCTCTTATATAATTTGTAAAAGCTCACTGTATTCTGGACTGGTCTACACTGAGTGGCTGTAGCTAAAAGGTGCCCCTTAGTGGTGAAAAGAATGCATTGCAGCAATATTATAAAGAATACATATCTAATAAGGAGACGAAAACTACTCTGGAAAATTTATTTTGCGTGTATTTATTTGAGTTACTTGTTCAAGCTGGAAATCTCTCCTGAGGAAAGGTCACCGGACCTGAAACATTAACTCTGATTTATTCTTCACAGATGCTGCTGGACCTGCTGAACTTTTCCAGCAGCTTCTGTTTTTGTTCCTGATTTACAGCATCCGCAGTACTTTTGGCTTTTAATCTCTCCTTACTGTCTATTTGTTAATCTATTACTAATTAATACTTTTTAAAAATGGCATCCAAACCTATTAGGTAAAGGTAAAATGACCATAATCCCAAACGACTGCTGTCTCATTAGAGAGAGATGACTGGTGGTGTGTTTAACCTGAGGGTCACCATGCCCCAGTTCAGGGGCAAGGTTGAGAAGGCAGGACCTTCAGAGTAACCTTAACTAGTATAGGAACTGAAACCATACTGTTGGTGTCACTCTGCATTGGCAAACTCGCCATCCGGCCAGCTGAGCTAACAAACCCTCCTTGACCTCATAGTCATACAGCACAGAAACAGACCCTGCTGTCCAACTTGTCTGAGCTGACCAGACATCTCAATCTGACCTAGTCCTATTTGCCAGCATTTGGCCCATTTCCCTCTAAAGCCTTCCCATTCATATACCTATCCAGATGCCTTTTTAAATGTTGTAATTGTACCCGCCTCCACCACTTCCTCTGGCAGCTCGTTCCATACACCCAACACCCTCTGTGAGAAAAAGTTACCCCTCAGGTCCTTTTTAAATCTTTCCCCTCTCACCTTAAACCTGCCCTCTAGTTTTAGACTCCCCACTCTAGGAAAAAGACCTTGGCTATTGACCCTATCCATGCCCCTCATGATTTTATAAACCTCTATTAGGTCACCCTTCAACCTCCACAGAGAAAAAAAGCCCCAGACTATTTAGCTTCTCCCTATAACTCAAAGCTTCCAGTCCCAGCAACATATTTGTAAATTTTTTTCTGCACCCTCTCAAGTTTAACAACATCCTTCTTATAGAAGGACAACAGAATTGTATGCAATATTCTGAAAGTAGCCTCACCAACGTCCTGTACAGCCACAACATCATGTTTTCTCATGTTAACTCAATCAGGTTAGTGAGACACAATTTTCCACACACAAAGCCATGTTTACTATCCCTAATATGTCCTTGCCTTTCAAAATCCAAGTAAATCCTACAATGCTTTACATAGAATAAATTACTTTAATACAGTTGCTGTTTCATAAAGAAAGTGTCCCGATTAAGAGTGACCATTTTTTCAAGGTGCAGGTTGAAAAAGCGCACCTACAGACTCATATTCAAACAGTACCACAGGACCCTTAAAATTCACTTAAACCACTGGACCAGAAAGAAGGGTCCCTACCCGAAACGTCAACTTTCCTGCTCCTCTGATGCTGCCTGGCCTGCTGTGTTCCTCCAGCTCCACACTGTGTTATTTCTCAAAGATAACCTAGATATCAAAATATCATTTACTGTTAAATAATCATTGTGTTTTTCGCTTTTTCCAACGTTTACTTGTGTGGGGTATTTGTTCTTGAGACCTTTGATTAACTTTTATTGCCCATACAGCATATTGGTAAATCTAACATACAATTGCAACATCCTCACAGCCTACTTAAAAGAAAACAACCCTTGATCCAACCATCCTGACAAACTACTGACCCATCTCCAACCTTGTTTCCCACTCCAAAGGCCTTGAACATGCTATAGCAATTCTGTGATTCTGTTGTCTTCCAAATTAATGTCCAACTTTCCAAGAATTCATGTTTGATTTCTTAGTTGACAAGGACGCACACGGATTCTGTATCTGATCCTAAATCCACTACAATTAGTTCAGCACTCTAATCAATGCACAACCTGCCCTTTACTAATTTTCCAGAACTCTATGTTCCCTCTAACTTTTAAAAACAAGATTTTTAGATTACCTAAAATTTTGGTCTCATCATCTTTGTAAAGGGATGGATGTAACTTTTCTCGTGATTGACTCCTGGATCTTACAGCTACCAACTTAAAAATGGCAGAACAGATAACCTGGTCTGGTTTATTCATGTCATTTTCTTCAAGTCAAGTTTCAAACTTTGGAAGTTTTCTGACAAAGCAGCAAATTCACACACTGGAAGTGATACTGGACTCTGTGCCATTTGTTTTTAAGTATTAGGCAAACTCTTAAACAACTGCAACACATGTCTATGAACACTTCTAACAGGAAATGTGTTGTGTACCATCTTTGTACATGTGCACTTAATGACCACTGGCAGGCATGCAAAGAAGGCAGATCATGACATTAGTAACTGAATGCTTACTTAACATTATGCTGCCACTTAGGGATCTCCATTCTCTAACCTATGCCTTCTTAATCTTACAGCTGTACACAAATGACATAAAGGACGTTCCCGCTAATGCTGCTCTGTAACACTGCCACTGACATGGGCTTCACTATATTTGATGGACCACACCAACTTGTCAATTCTTATAAAGCCATGTTGCAATCACCAGCCATAACTGCAAGGAATAATTTCAGCCACCAGAAATCCACCAGTAAAATGTCTTCAAGTTTATGACTTTGGCTTTGGAGATTGACATATGTTGAAAGTGTCACAGAAGCTTCCTGAATATCTGTCATGCAAATAAAACCTACAATCTGCCACTTCAGCCCGCTGACCGGATACCTGGCTGGTTTTATGTTAAGCTCCAATTTTACGAATTAGGTCCAGTCAGGTCTTCACATCAACAAACTCCCTTATTGTCCTTTCAATTTTGAGGAAGAACACACCATATCATCCCTTGCTCTTTAAAACAGAGACTGAAGATTCATGTACAAGTCATTCAATCCTGAATGTTATTATTTATTTCTTTTCTCATTCTATAGGCCATCCCTAAGACAAGAGAAAAAAATGATAGCGTTTTACATGTTTTTCAAACATTCCACCTTCCATAAGCACTATGGTAGGGCAAAGGAATTCCAATGCACTCATTTATAAATTTGAACAGTGGGTATAGTACAGATCACTGTGGGGAAGGGTAACAAGAAACGGCAGCAGGGGCATTGGGAATAGGTGATTAGCATTATAGCCTGTGATGTTGCTGGATTCAGTACTCTGTGGGACCCAGCTTCAGAAATCTGTGGATGAATGATCAAAAGGCTCCACTCTCAATAAATAAATGTGCAACTCAGGTAAATGTCTAGAAACCTGTCATGACTAGACTTATCAAACTTGAGTTTCAATTTGAGATGTGACTACTAAGTTCATACAGCTGTGTATACTACGCTGTGTTCTCAGGCTCCTTGTTAGAATAGCTTGCAATCCACTGAAGGAAACTGGGGAGGAAATAGGAGAGGTTTGGACCAAGATTAAGGAACCTATGCAAATAATTTGTACCAGACAAGTGGACGATAGCCAATGTATCACTTCCCTTCAAGAGGGGAAGAGGAAAATGCTTAATCTGACTACAAATCAAAACATTAGTCTAATGTCAGTTTTAGACGAAGCCTTAGAATCCACAATTTCTTAAATTAATGAGTACTTAAGCACAGATTAAACAATAACAAGACATGGATCTTTTAACAAAAGAATTAATGTACAAATCTGAGTTGTCCATAGAAGTACGAAATGGATGAATGGACTACTTCGTATAAAAATTTTCAGTTAAGACACACCATTGCGTATTTACAAGATTTCATCCTTAAATCATATGCGAATACAGGAAAATTAAATCATCGAAAATGAAGAAAGATCTGGATATGGTTGATGGGTGACTTTATCAGATAGAGACTACTGTGGTAAATGTTAAAATCGTGGGATCTTAAAGCCGTAGATGAGGACATGGAAGCCATATAGGTCCCTCACATTAAAAGGAGGGTACACCGTAAAATGAAAACAATGGATAATGCTGAAAGCATTTCACTAGATATAATCAAAATATCTCTTAAGGTAATAGGGATGTACATAATACTGAGAAACCAGGAATAAAATCTGCTTTCAGATTGACTGGAAAAAGCTATGAATGAAACAATGGTTCGATGTGGTAGTGACAGTGGGCCTTTTTGTTATATTAGGAGTCAAACAACGACTAAAGATCACATAGAACCTTTGGAAAATTGTGCAGGTCAATTATGTATGAGGTATTAAATGCTCACTTTGCATCTTTTCACTACTGAAGATAATGCTGTTTTGCCAATGTTGATTGATAGATGCAATGCTAAAATTGAACTAACGGAAATCCACTGTTCTGGCTAGGATTATTGTTGTTAAAGCAGATTGCTCTGCCAATCCTAATGGTATTCACCCTGGAGTACTAAAAGAAATAGTCTGTGTTATGTCAGCTGCTATCTCAGATATTTTATTGCTTGTGGAGGTTTGAGAATGTTCCATGAACTGGAGAGAGGTCCATATGGTACACATACTTAAAAACAGTAGTAAACCTGAACCTGCAATGTAGATTATATTTTCTTTGATGAATGAGCTAGAATCAGCAAGTGTATTTCCTTATCTGTGTCTATCTTGCGGAAATAGACTGTAAAACAGAAATGTGGGGAAGGCACATCTATCAACTTTAAGAACAACAACCTGATTATTTTATTATAACTGAATCTTCCTGTTTTATTTCATGAAAAAAAAACCCAGGCTATTTTACACCACAGAATATTATGTACAAGCAAGGATGTACAATGGAATTTGGACAAACACCTTAAAATGTGGATAAACAGTGTTTCTCTGCAAATTAATAAAAGTCACACAGAAACTTTGGAGTAATTTCTCAAACTTATTTGGACAATTAATCAATTTTTTCTACTCTATTCAGCCTTGAAATTATGCTGTGCACAATACAACTATAAAAAGATCAAGTAATGTATTTATATGAAATTGTTCTGCTTAGTATCCAAGTTTATTAACATATTAAAATAATCTAGACACCAGATGTAGCACCTTTCATTTCTTCGGGATGTCCCACAGTGTTTTACAGAAAGTGAAATATTTTTGAAGTGTAGTCACCATTGCAATGCATGAAATGCAATGCAACTTTCAGACAAGGTTCCACAGGCAGCAATCAGGTAATTACCACTTTTCATGATGTTGATTCAGGAATAAATATTGGTCAAGAGACCCCTGTACATCAATGTCATTAAATTATTTCCATCCATCTGAAGAGAGCCTCAGCATAAATTCTCAACTTAAAATACAACAGCACCAACACATCTATGGAGTGAAGTCTGACTCCCAAACTCTGACTTAGGAGTATATGCTCTATTACTGAGCCATCATCAACAATTTAGTTTCAATCAATCATGTTATACAGTGATTTGTTAATATGGCATTGTATAATTTCTAGGCTATACTCCAAGCAATAAATGCTTTCTCTTCTAAAGTGGTAACTAATGCACAGCTTTTACGTTTGATTATTTTTTTCAAAGACTTGCTATTCAGCAAACTATACAACCATGGTATGGCTTAATGGACATCTAGAGCCTCAATACATCCATATCAACATTTCAGTCCAGGTAGTATTCCATAACTATTTTTAGTATTTTCCCTTCTGTTAATTAAATATCGGTTAGCTTTCATGTTTAACAAATTCTATTCTACTACCTGAAATACAATATTTTGGATAAGTTGCTGTTGGCACACAAAGGATTTATTTTTCTAAAAGCAAAATACAATTTTGTGCTTACAACAAATGAAAACATAAAACTACGTAACACCATTTTACGCTTGAGTAACATTGCCACATTTAAACCTTAGTTAACTTGTGCACATTCAATGGAGTTATTATTCATCTTGCTTTCTCTTGGGTTTTTTTGGATTACGAGACCTGCTTTTTGCTTTACAAAGAGGGCAGATAGGTGCATTCCGATGGATTTGTTGATGACAAGACAAGCAAGCCTGTGGATACAAAGAGAAAGTAGTCATTACCTGCATACAGAGCAACACAGACATTGGTATAAGAACTAGTGTTGCTGTGTGGTTGTGTTGTAACTAATATAAGAAAGAAAACGTAAAACCACATGATGCACTAGATGTAATGCTCACTTCAAACTAACCCCAAAATTGTTACCATTTGCCACAGACTTGCAATCACTAACACATCAACGTGATCAGGTCGAAATGCTCTCTCAGACATAATGCAGATATTGAAGAACAAAACCCATAACTGTATATTTTTTCAGTTGAAGTGAACATACTATACAATGCTCACATTCTCACCAGCCTTCCTCAATTTGTATTCGACACCTAAATGCAGCAGGCGTTTATCCTTTGTCCCACTGATCTGGGAGAATCACTGAGACAACTGGAAGATGATGATGACAAAGCTGAGGGTATGTGATGACTTGCCCTCGTTTCTACAAAAAGGCAATCAATCAGTTCATTTTCTCCAGAGTTGGTGTCAGAAACATTCCAAAGTAGAGTCGTATCAAACTCGAAATATTAACTGTATTTCTCTCTCCGCAGGTGCTGCCAGTCTTGCTGAGTTTCTCCAGAAATTTCATTTTTTATATCTGCATCTTCTAACATTGATAAACCCTTCCTCCATATCCCAGTAACACCTGTAAATCAGGCAGTATGTGGCAAAATTATAATCCCCAGGGAAATGCTACTGATTGAACTAATCTACTGTGGGTTCATAATCCTCTGGGTCCAGATGGACTTCAACCTGGGATGTTAAAAGAAGTGGCCAACGAAGTAGGTAGTAGATGCGTTGGTGTTAATTGCTAGATTCTGAAAAGTTGCCATTAGACTTGAAAGTACCAAATATAACCCATGTATTCAAGAAGGGATAGAAGCAGAGTATTACTTAAATTATGAATGGCTACAGAATTCTGAATGTAGTGATTCTAACGAGGTCAGCCAGGTTGACCTCATAGAATGCGTTCCATGCTTGGGACTGTTAATCTGGTCCAATCAGGGAGCCCTGGCTGACAGATAAGAACAGGAGTGCCAGCCATCCTGTTCACTCTGAGACCTGGCTCTGAGGGAGCTGCATCAGTGTCAAGGACTCTACGCATGTAAACAAAGGGCGACTTGGTGACAGGATACCGGCCACTGTGAAGTTATTTCACTGAGCAGCAGGATCTCAGTGTTCTAGTTCATGAGTCATAAAATGTTAGGATGCAGGTACAACAAGTGATTAGCAAGGCTAATGGAATGTATCTTTTGTTACAAGAGGAATTGGACATAAAAGAAAGGATATTATGCTTCGATATGTAGGACGTAGGTGAGCCCACATCTCAAAGGCCATGTTACGTTTTCGTGGATTGTTCATGCAAAATCCACCTAGTGGTATAATGAATTAGTATATACCAAGGGCACTATCCCTCTCTCTGGAGTTGGCCCCTGAGAGATACTCACCTCTTCCCACAATCTCAGCAATTCAGTTCTGGACAAGAAGGTCCATTCCTGAACTGCCACCAATTAAGGCCCTTAAGAGGCCAATTAGTGGCTACTTAAGGGTCTTGGTCCACAATCAGCCGAATTACCTGCATTCCCAGTAGGCAGGCCATCCCAGTAGGGAAAGCAGCAACTCTTCTTGCCTCAGAGATAGTAGGAACTGCAGATGCTGGAGAATCCGAGACAACAAGGTGCAGGGCTGGATGAACACAGCAGGCCAAGCAGCATCATAGGAGCAGAGAGGCTGACGTTTCGGGCCTAGACCCTTCATCAGAAAAGGGGGAGGGGAAGGGGGTTTTGAAATAAATAGGGAGAGAGTGGGAGGCGGATAGAAGAGGGATAGAGGAGAGGATAGGTGGAGAGGAAACAAACAGGTC